TGCAGTTGCAAAGATACTTGCTTGGAAGAACCAAGCGAGGCAAAACTGGAAGGGTAAATGGTAGATCTTTAGGGGGGGTTGCATATATATATATATATATAAGTACACGCACACATATATATATATATAAAGGGATCTTGTGGAGGGGCTTTCCTCTGCACCTTAGACCCGAAACTGCAAACCTCCAAAAGCCAGTACCCTGCCACTCGGGCGCAGGCTCACAGCCCTCTCCTCGGCCGCCTTGTCCTTGGGAGCGTGCAAGCTATTGCAGGGCCGAAGACGCTTTCACCGGAAATTATGGACGTAGTGTATACTAGTATAAAGAAAATTGTGTCCACACATCTGTGTGTGGTGTCGCAAACTTTTGACCTGTAGAAGTCTTCGGCGATACATCGCCACGAAACGGAACCTGGATCTGCGGCGCAGGGCTTCCGGAAAACAGACCAACGCTCACAAAACCCTGTAAGAATCGTAAAGCCTTACAGCCGGCGAAATCTAAGCTCATAGCCCGTGACACCCAAAAAACCCTCCAAGATCAGACTCCTAAGGCCTGAAATCTCGAAAGGGGCGTTGCAACTCCGCCTACAACCACAACCGTAGCCTGCGACCTTACAAACAAGGAAAATCCTCAAATCTACCCAAAATGTCCCGCAAACCCCAACCCCGTCACCGACTCAAAACCCCACGCCTTAAACCCTACACCCTTTAGGCCAAGGATTAAAATCCCAACCGTCAGCCCGAGACCCTCAAAAGGAAACGGGTCCTGCGTAGAGCTTCCCACCTCGCCAGGCCGAACAAGACCTCTGTGAGCTAATTGGACTGGGCATGTTTGGGGCTTGGGGAGGTACACCAAAATATGGTATGACCATTGTAAGTATGATCAATATGCTAGGGAAAGCACAAGGCGTAATATTCCGAAGCAGCCAAGCCTCGTTCCTCCATGGAACCCTTTCGGGTTTGGGGGTTTGAGGGCTTTGTGTTCCGGATCTCGGGTTTGTCGGTGTGGCATACGGAACGTGTTGAAGCTCCCCACGTAAAAACCCTTCTACGCAGCCCTTAAGGGAACCACTGAAGGGACTGGTTGCAGGCTTTCCGCACCTGCAAACCTAAACCCTAGTACCTACATCCGACATCCCAAACGGCACCTGAACCGTTTTCCGTCTTCTCCGCGAGGGGACCTGCGAGATCGATCATCCGGGGCTGCTTTGTGCGGGGGGGTTCAGTGAGGAAGCAGACTAGGATTTCCAGATTGGGGGTTCAAGATTGTGGTTTTAGGATTCAAGATTTAGGGTTTTGACTTTACCTATTTCGGGTTCGAGGTTTAGGTCGTAAGCTTTAGGGCGTAGGCCGGTGTGACCCACGGATAGGTCCTCCTTCAAACTCAAGTGTCTCACATCTGCTCACAACGCACTGTTTTGAGGGTCCAACAAAGGGTATCCGCTCAACAAAGGGCCTCCGCCCTAAAGTATGGGCACCTCTTGCAAAGACTGAACGCTGCGGTCGGCCCCAATTCTACTTGTGGTCTGACGCCTTGTGCCTGGATGCACATACCCTAAACCGTCCTCGCACCACAGAGCCTAAGTTGAGGTTCGGGGTTTCGGGTTGACCCGAGTGTACTGCATGTGTTTGCGCCATGGGATGTAGGATCCATGATAGTAGTGGGATTGAAAGTCTAGGCTCGAGCTTGTTGACAGTCTAGGACTGTCAGCTCTCAGACCAAATTTTAGACCGTGTGCCCCGCATCCTTCACCTCGCTAAATGCTCCTGAAGATGAAGGTCACAAACGTAGAACGCAATCGGTTTGGAAGAGCCAGGCGTAGTGACAGCATCGAGCAAGGCTTCAAGCGACTGAAACCTGAACAGAATCCAACTTTGTTGCATAGCTATAGGTTCATTGCCCCGAAACCCTAGTCTCATTATTTAAGGGCTGATGAGTGTCGCTTTCTTTGGCCAGCAAACCCGCAACGCTCAAGCCGGCAAAGGGTGGATCTCGGGCTTCCAGCCCCACACCCCCAAAACTCGCACGACAAGGCCACAAGGACCCTACTACTCAGCACGCTGATCATGAACCTAAACAAGGCCTGCACCACACACCCTCCGCGCCACTCCAAAGCCATAAACACTGCGTAAACTTAAAGCCCCAAACCCTAACACCAAGAACCCTAAAACCTTCAAGAAACCCGTACTCCCAAAACCCGAAACTACACACCCAACCCCAAGACCCTGAACACCAATCGGATCGACAGCCTGCAGCCGGCGCGGCCAACGGCTCTTCTGGGAGTGGTTCTTGCGGGCATGAGCGAACCTGACCGTGGTGGTATCGGGCTTGATGGGTTCAAAAATTGAAAGTTAGGGCTTTGGGACTGTAGACTGTAAGGTTTCACACTTGGGAAGTACGGACTTGATTTGAGTGGGTTCAGTTTTGAGAGGCTTTGGGGTTCAGCGTTTGGAGCTTCGGGGGGTGTAGCAGTCCAGAGCTTAGCATGTACGTGGAATTTGAGAACGTGGCGTGTGTTCACGGCGGAGGCTTGGGATCCGAAGTTTCGCTCCAGCACTCCATCTTTCAGATTTCTGGGTCTGTGTCAACTTGTTTCTGGAGTCACCATTGCATGGTTGCCCATCCCGGCCCCAAGCACCAAATGAAAAAAATCCTAAATCCACGAGATAGCCCCTATGGCCAGCAGCCCTTGTCTCCAAACCAACACATCGTGTTTAACACCGCAAGGAATGGAACAGGGCTTAGCAGGGGGCTATATATTATGGAATACTTCGTGATGACATAGGCCCGGAAAAGGCTATGATTGATACTCTTTCTAATCAGCCTGCACTTTCAATTCTTTGGGGTTTAGAGTTTTCGCTGAAAGGTGGTTCAGCCTTGGGCCCTAAAATAAACCCCACACCCTAAACCCTAAACTGTAGAGTTTTAGGATTTAGGGTTTGGGTTACCAGGCGTCTCGGCTGCAAAGCTTTTAGCCCCGGGTTTCGGTGGAACTGTGCCCGCGACTTTAGCCATGGCCAGACCCCAGCGTGGATCCCCTATGTATCTCCCACGCGACAGTCAGGGCGCTCGATGCGATCTGACATTCCTGCTGGGATCTCGACTGCGGCTCTCTCGGGGTAGAGGGTCGCTGTTCGCTCAGCTGGCCTGCCTTTCGGTTTGGGTTTTGGGCGGAGCATGCCACCAGGGGCAAAGTGGCATGCTCGCGCATGGATGTGAGGACCTTGGGCCTCCTTCCTGCACCTATNNATGGTTGGTGGTACTGGCATGTGCTCCTGATGTCAAAGATCTACAGACAGGTGGATGACGGCATTTGGACACACTCCCCACTGGTCCTGGTTTGGGATCCTGGGGGTACCTTCTTTACCGAGCCGTGGCCGCTTCTGGCGGCTGCGTTTTCCCTTCAGTGTTTGTGTGCTGAAGTTTCATCACTGGTGCGCTGGGGCAGATTGAATTTGTCTAAATGGGCATCGGTTCAACGTGCTGCCTACTCCTTTTTCGCGCCGGGGTGGTGTCCTCTCACCCACCTTTGCCTGGAGGCATTGGACAGGTGAAGACGTGTCACTTTGAGTCGCGTGTGGCCATGTGGATTCCCATGCATCGTGCTCGCCTTCTGATCGGAGTGCCTCGTAGTGTTGCCAGTCTTTGCCTTGTGCTGTCAAGGGCGGCTACTCGGCACTTCGTTTTCCGCTCGGGCTGCTGCACAAGTTGGTGGCTTCCGTGAGTTCCGTTAATACCCCGCGCGGGTTTGGCCGTCGACCCCAGCTGTGCTGGGCTTCCGTAGTTGGCTTTGGGTTGGTCGGGTTTTCGGTTTTGGGCTTCCCTCGGGTTCCTCGGGGCTCGCCGTTGCCTTTGTGGGGTTTTGGTTTCGGGGCTGGGTTCTCCGTTCGGCTTTGGGTTTGGTTTTTCGGTTGTTGGTTCGGTTTTCGGTTGGTTCTGTTTCACCTTGCATGCTCGGCCGCGATGCATGGCGCATCGCTTTTGGGCCACTTCCTGATAGCCGCTCCGGACCTTACGGACCGCAACGCGAGTGAGTGAGTGAGTTTGGGTTACCGTAATGTTGGAAGCTGATTAAGATATCCCCGGTTCTTCGGGCTCTTCGTGTGGATCTTGTCTGACAAGATTGAGACTTCAGGCTCCTGCATGAGGGGGAATTCAGAGTTTAAGTGTCTCTGGACTTTGCGTTGAAAGCTCAAGCTCTGGCTTCGAGTGTTCAGGTTTTAAGTTCGGGCTTGGGGATTTTCAGTTGCTTTAGACTTTAGGTCGGGGATTGGGTCCAGGCTTTTTGCAGTCTTGGACTTGGAGCCCGAGGGGTTCATGATCCACGCAAGATAGGACGCATATAAACAACCTCAGAAAAGTACCCTCATCAAGAGCACCCTTACCAGGGTACCTCGCATCTTCGGAAACCACCAAAACGTAGCAGAAGCCTGAGCACAATGCCTCCAAGCGAAAAAGCTAATCGCAGCCCGATCTTAACGAAAAGCCTCCCAAGATCCCGACAAGGCGTCCAGGCCTTCTTGCCCTTCGGCTTCCTGGCCCTCTCTGCGGGGCCCAGTGGCCTAAAGCGGCGAAAGCTCAGGGGGCGTAGGGTGTTGTAATGGCGCGTTGGGTGCATGTTTCATGCTTTCCACTAGCCAGTGCTCGTTGATGGCGGGGGAACTCTGCCCAAGCAATCCCTGAACCCCAGCCCCCCGAAACGGGCCAAGCCCCTCACGGCGAGCCGGCGTCCTCGGGTTGCCCGAGACCTCGGTTCGCGGCTTCGGCTTAAGGGTCTCAGGGTTTAGCTTTGGTCCACGGGCGTTGGGTTCGGAATGTGGACTGGCATTCTTGAAGATTTGGCGGTTCTGGGTACGGGCGTTTTTGTGCGATAGGGTTCAGGGTTGGCGGAGGTGCGCAGGATGCAGAATCCTGCTGCGATGCAGCTAAAATGTCGAACGGTATCAGGTTCCCCTGCAAATTACGATCGGTATTACAACCCCTGACTTTTTGCCTCTGCCGTACTGTGTGATGGCGATCTCCATGCAAATCCACATGAGGGGGCGACGTTCTGGACCAGTGCCGATACAGCACCAGGACCGACTTGAAAGCAGAGCTACTTGACGGCTTCAGCCTCTAAGATTGCGGCCATGATGCCATAATACCCTATGCAATAATGCCATAATTAATGCCAGAATACCATAGTACCATAATACCATAATACCACAAAGCCTAAATGCCATAATGCCATAATGCCTTCGTACCATAATGGCATAATGCCATAACACCATAATGCTATAACGCCATAACGCCATAATGCGATAACGGCATGATGCCATAATGCCGTAATGCCATAATGCCATAGTGCCACAATGCCATACTAGACCAGACCATACCATAATACCAGACAGTCCCACACGATACCATGTACACATTACATACCATACACTACATGCACATAAGTACTTGCATACGTTCATTCATACATACGTACATACATACATACATACATACATACATACATACATACATACATACATACATACATACATACAAACACAAACACAAACATGCACGCATACCTGCAAACGCACACATAAAGCAAATGCTTCATCC